CGACTGGAAAAGGGGGAAAGAGGCGCTCTTCTCTCCCGGGCGGATCGGGAGGCCAGGCTGCGCCGTGTCCGCCCCTGGAGCGGGGCCCGCGGGGGCCGGGTCGCCCCTCTTGCGCGCGAGGCTTTAGCCTCATTTTTTCCAATATTGTTTTGCATCCTGCGTAACCCGTATATTCGATACAGGGCAGGTACTGAAAAAAGCAAACTGTACAACTTCCCCTAGAACCGCGTCCTACACATTTAGAGAACGTTTAAACGAGGTTTCGGAAACGGACGTTATCAGCCTTTAAGTGGGAAGGCTGAACAGGCGATGCGCAACATAAAAATGGATACGAAAGGCTTAAAATATGTCTCCGCGGGAAACAAAATACAAACACTGTATATACTCTGATTTAAAGGCAGTCCCAGTATCAGTAAATCCCTTATTCCCAAAGAATCCGACATGCACATCTAATGGATGCAAGTTGCTGGCATACTCAGTCTCCTCTTGGTGGTCTGTACCGAAAAAAATAAAACACGGTTAAGATAAAGTATTGTAAACTTTATGATTTGTTGTACCCATCACAGTCTTTTATGGTGCAAAACAAGTTTCAGACTACAACTTTCCAGCAGGGAGAGCAGTTAAATGCCTGATCAGAAAAACTGCTATCCGCACACTGTATAGAATCTGATGCATGCTTAATTAGGATTAATCTCCTTTGTCTTTGCCCATATTCAGTGGGGTCCACTTATGAGAAAACATCACCCTGATTGGCTTGAAAGAGTGCAGGAGACTGCAGCTGTGAAAACGCCCAGTTTTGCAGTCCTGGGCACTCTTACTTTGGGATTAAATTCCACCAACTCAGTGGGATTTTTTTCCTGAGGAGTCATACACAAAACTGGGACTGCTGGTTGACAGGCTGAATCTCATGACGTAGTGGATAAGGCAGGCGGCCAAGGATCCTTGAGCGAATGACTCATCACAGCTCTGACTCAATGCATTTAAAAAAATCAATAATCATTAAAGATTCACCAGACTCTGTCACATTGCTGCCATGAAGAAAGCCTTGCCCATCACTATCGGCTTATAGCATCTGCAATATGGGACTCTGTTCAGAGGCAATGTCTGAATGTCTCAGGTTTAACCAAGTTGCCCACTGTTAAACCTGAGAGATCAAAGCCTTGCTTGCTGTGACCCACACACTTTGGTCATCAGGGATGGTCCAAAATATTGTGAGGGCCAAATGGTTCCTCCCCACTTCTCCCCCCACTAGATTGACAGGGACACCAAGCCAGTCAAGTGATTTTAGTTCCCAAAGCAGAAAGTGCCGCTATCTCTTCTTCCCATCTCTCTGAAATGCAGCCACCAGGAGGGCTGTGGGTGCTAAGCCCTTAAAGGCAAAAGTGTAATTTGGAGGAATTTAATGCTAACATCACAAATGCTTTCCACCAGCCCTCTGGAAATTCAGTATCTTCCTACAGCTATCCTAAAGATGATGTTTTCCAGTGGTCACACCTTAATTCTTCTTAAACCAGGCCTTGAAATACATTGAAACTTCTTCTCATTCCACTTCGCAGGTGACCACTGCTGTCCCCCAAATCCTTCTCCTAAAATTCACACCAAGCAAGCAGTTGGTCTCAAACATCTACAAGTGCCTTTTACCCCTAACAGGTGATGAAAGTGGAGAAAGGGATTGAGTTTACATATCACATTTGCTTAATCATGAGTTATCCAGGAGGTTCAGGGAAGATGCTAAACCCCAACAAACCAACTGTTTCATGCTTTAACACTATGTGCTCCAGACTTCTTAATTCAAAAGCAGCTAAATTTGACTGAGGGGTCAATGATGGAGTGGTGGGGAGGATGGAACGGGGAAGCATTATAGCTGTTGGACATAGGTATCCAGAACAATGCACAATGATGTCACACGTGTGATGTCACTGCATACATGACATCACTTACTGTCAGCTCCACTTGGTAGGCCAAACCAGGAAATCAACTCCACAAGAAGGCTGAAACTACCGGTATTGAGATTGACTCAATAAAAAGATATGTTTCGGCCCCTTTTGCCTGGGTCATGGTTCTTGCCTATGTCTGTCAAGGTCATCTTCCTTACTTTCCACAGTCATCTGCCCCCGCCCCCCCGTGACCCTCCTGCCAGGGTAAATATGCCCTTAGTAGGAACTTGGCCTTAGAACAGCCTCACCAAAAAGATCAGGCTAAAGAGTGATCCATTTTGTTCAGCATCTATTTTCCACTCCTCAGATGCAAAGGAAGTATACAAGAAGGCTTTTCAAGTCCCCGTGCCAACCACAGCAGCTTTATGGCTTTTGTGGTTTGTTGGGAGCTGTGCCATCTTTCCTGCCTCTGCGAGCGGGACTAGAAACATTCAGATTCCGCAGCAACCCTGCCCATTGGTTCGGTTTGGTGGCCCGCAGCCCCCCAGTTCCTCTGAAGCGGATATCTTGGCTTTAAAGGTTGTTTTCGACTCTCTTTAGGGCTGTCCTTCCTCCGCTCTGGCACGTTTTCCCAGAGCCAGTTCCTTGCAATTAGCTGCCAGCCCACAGGATCTGCAAGTCCCGCGGCTGATGAATGGATGATGAGCCTCTGTCAAAGCACCTCGTGGAGGCCAAGGATGCCGGATGACGCAGGACAGGAAATGCTCGGCTTGAGTAATCAGGAACGAAGGGCCTGTCCGGGAGGCCTCTGGCCCCGAGCGCGGCAACTGCCCTGTGAATCCCCAGTGGGGAGACGGACGGTGCCAGGGCACCCCACACGGCCAGAAGGGAAGTGCTCTGAGCGGTGCGCAAAAGAAAAGCCAGAAATAAAATAAAGACATAGCACAAAACGGAGTCTGAAAAGCGAATCTTCCAGCAGCACAGCTCCCTGAGGCAAGGCCAGATGAGGATGATGGGCCCCGTAGCCCAGGCATCTGGAAGACAGCCAGGGGGAGTGGATGGGGGGAGGGAAAAAGGCCGCATGCCACTAAGAACGATGGGAGTTGTAGTCCAGGAGCTTGGAAACAGTAAGCTAACGTTTCTGGGGGTGATCAGGAGCCTGGGAGCTGGGGAGGATCGGACCCGTCCCCCTGGAAGGCTTCAGGCCTGGCTGGCTCAGCATGATGGGGGCTGTAATCCCCAACGCCTGGGATGACGTCAGGGCTGGGCCTCCTCCTCCTCCTCTTCCTCCGCCGTCTCCGCCTCAGAGTCGCCATGGCAACCGCAGCGCCGGGACGGGACGCGTTTGTCCCCGCCGCGCGCAAGCGTGCTCGCGTCCGGCTCCTCTCCGGCCCCCCCCCCATCGCCAGCGAGCCCGCCGGCTGCGCACGCGCAGCTGAAGCCCGGGAGCGAGCGGGCAGGAG